TCCTGGAGTCACGTGCATGTCAACAAATCTCTGCTTCCACAAAAAAACAACCAAACAAACCAAAGTATTTGCAACCTTAAAAATGGCAGAGAAGACCTTGAATGGAAAACCGTTACATTAAAGGAAGAAAGAAGTTAAAGAACTTCAGAGGTTTGTATGTATATATTCGTGTAGTTGTACATACGTATATTTAAATCTCCTGCTTTTGAAAGATTGAGGTTAGAAGCATTGTCACTGTGCTCCTCCAGCATTAGGGTTCAGTTCTAGTTAATCACAAACTTTCAGAATTGATCCATTAGTGTTGTAGCACTTGGATAGTTTTCGTTTCGTAAGTACGGAATCAATTATATAGAAAGATACGGCTGTAACACTCAAAGAAGAGACCGTTTAACACTACATCTTGCTGTATTTATTTTATGATTCTTTGGATAGATATGCTAAAATATGTCTAAACCACGGAGAGTGTGTTGGGTGATGTGGCATTTCTGAGCTCAGTTAAATAATAAGATGTGTTCTATTCAAATCAGAATAACATTAAGCCCTGAATACTGAACAGGGCAGCAAAAAGCCTTCAGCACACAAAATAAACAAGTAAAAAACTCGAATGAAACTGTCTAATAAATACAATGTGGAGCAACAGGCTGCATGTACTAGAGGAATTAAGCCAATTTAAACCGTATGGGCAGTACTCCACTTTCAGATGTGCTCAGCGTCCAACAGTTTCAATGGCAGTTGGATGCATGCATCAAAGGGCAAAGTCTGGCTCAGAGCACTCACGTGGATTTGATAGCGTAGGTTTATGACCTTGTAATACTAGAGCATCTAAAACAGTAAGAACTCTATCCAGCTTAAAATAGCTGCTGTAGTTGCTGTTGATACAAGCTTGTTGGCTCCCCAGCTCTGGGGCCAAATTTGGTGCTGGCATGATAGGAGGAAGTCTGTTGACAGCTGATAGTGGTGGAGTTACTCTTGATTACATCATAACAGATTTGGCGTGTGGAGTTTAATCAGAAGTCTGAGCAGAAGTGTCCATTCCTTATCCAGAGTTGAAACTGGGATTTGACCTTGCCAATCCACAGAGATTTGTCTGGGCCATGTGTAAGTGTTTCAAAAGTACGTTCAACTCCCAGTTCCGCTCAGCATGGTGACTGTAAAAAAAAACATGAAGGACTGGATTTTCCTCTCACGTCCGAAAGGATGAAGTCCCTAATCATGCCAATATAAGCACAATGAGAACAAGCCCCAGGGTAGCTGTTGTACAGGGCTGCATCTGGCCCACAGCAGAGGGTGAGAACAGAAAGGCGCTCTTAACTCTCAGTTGCTGGAGTCATCCAGTCTCCAAGCATGCCCGATGTCAAGCAGACAACTCTGTGGATGCTGTTCTTCAGAGGAGCTGCCATGGGTCCCAGTGCACTGGTCTGGCTCCTGCCAACTGGTGTGGTATAGATGAACTGCTGCAGCTATGTCACCTCCTCCCTTCCTGGGTCTTACAGTGTAAGACTTGGAGAGGAAGTATTACTGATGCTCCAAGTCATTCCTCAAAAGATTTCAAGAAAGGAGATGATTTTATTTTAATTTCAGCTGCTGCAAAAATTGTCCCAAGCCTTTGTGCTTTGTTGTTTTATTTTGGTTTTTTTTTTTTAATACTAAATTGCTGGAGTGATTTTAATGGAAATTAATTAAAACAAATTAATGAAAAGAGATGAAAAATGGATTTGTCTGCTGAAACTGTGGTATGCAAACTCTTAACCTCAGTGACATTTTTGTGGTTCCTCTGTAAACACCTAAGTGTATAATAATGATTTGTCATGGAACTTTTTGATGGAAATTCGTAGAAAGTGAGACTAGACTACATAATACATTTTCTCTCCCTTTGTGTACAACTTGATATAATGCATGTGCTCTTACCTGTTCCTTTTCGTACTATTATTAATCTGTAGTTAAATCTTTGCAGTATTGGGAAAGAAATGAAAAAGATGCTATCAGGCTTAGGGTTTCTCCATCAGGGTTTCTGCTTGTAGGGGACAGGAAGGCAGGAGGAGTCTTTGTTATGGGACTGATACCAATGTTGGGCATGGGCTGTGCTCTGCAGAATGCAGCGGCTGAGGAGGAGCTGTCCTCTCTGACAAACTGCATCCATCTTTGGATGATCTGGAGTTGTGTTGGGTAGGTTCTGCACGTGGCTCAGGCAGGTGTGAGAGATGTGTGCTGTTCAGGTGAGCTGCTTGGGGGACCAAGACCACCATTTGTGCACACATGCATAGAGCAAAGCAGGACTTAGCCCCTATGATAAATACAGCACTTGCAGTGTGTTCTAGAACAGAGAAGTGTATTAGTTTCTCATGTATATTTATTTTATTTGTATTTTATGTTCCCTTTCTATGCAAAGATATGGTGTTTTTTTTATTTGCTTTCGTTTATTTTCAGAAACTCTGATGATAAGATGAAGGTCATGTTGTTGAAAATAAAATGTAATAGTTGTGCACATTGGAGGAGAAAAATGGGGAGGTTCAGTGGGCCTTGTAAGGGATGCCTTACAAAACATTCAGCCTTGAAGGGTCCGCTCAGTCTCCCTGGAGGAGTGTCAGCGAGCTTTGCCAGTGAGTTGTTCCCTGGAGAGAGGAGCCAAAAGCTTTCCCCACTGTCCTTCACTAGGAAAATGAGCTGACTGCTTCCTCCAGTGTGTCTTGCCCAAGCAGAGCATCCAGCCCTTTGGCATAGGAGAGCTCAGTGGAGCCAGTTGGCTTAAAAAGATTTTATTTACTATGCTCCCTCTTGGGATTGGTGTGAAAAAAAGGTTTTCTGCCTTGGAACCTTTGTGCGGAAGTCCTCCATGAACTAAACACTTCAGAACAGAAAGACTTCCACATGGAAGTTGTCTATCCACTGACGTTTTTATGCCCATAACCATTTTGAACCAAAATGAAAAAAAAAAAAATTAAAGGGGTTAATAAAACCAACAATTATTTTCTCTAAGGGGCCCTAGCAGTTCAAAAAATTGCCATTGAGTGTAAACAGTTCCTGAGATTGTACATGCTCGACCAAATTCATCCTTGCTATAACTCCTCAGAACTCAGTGGAGTTACATGAGGGATTAATTTGGTCCATTGCTCTCAGCCATCAGTCTTAGAGGATATACAACAATCCAGGGAACTATTATTGTCAACATTATTTTGTTACTCTTTAGAGCTGCTCAGTATTTGTGTTTAACAGATACACAAGCAGGGTGAGTGTATGGAGTGAAGTTAGTGTTTCAGTATTGAAGGTAGTGGATTTTTCAAAGGTATTTTTGTCCAATTAAAAGTCATAAGCGTTCTAACAGCCATCATTGCTGTGAATCTTACATAGATGCCTGAGTACAGGTACACGAAACATTTCACAAAGAGTAGAAAATATTTGGAAAGTTATCACGCCAACTGACTGATTATCACAGTGTTCATGTGAAACTTAGCTGTACTTACTGCACACAGGAAGTTAAGGCAGAGAGGTGAAGCCATTTTCCAAAAGCTAACTTAGGAGGCAGTTACAGGGCCAGGATCAAAACGCAAGAACTCTACTATCACTTTCTACTCTTCTGTTTTCTCCAAACCTAAATTGTTTCTGTAATTTTCAAAATAAACTGAGGAAAGCTTCAGGTAGTAAATCTGGAATGATAGATGGTGAATCTGCGTCTGCACATAAATCATGTATTTTAGTTCCTGTCAGAAGGTGTATACAGCTACCTGAATCCTTAGGACATGTGTAGGATGGGTGAATTAAGTCATTTAAGTTTAAACTCTGATCAGAACAGTTGTGCTAACAACCAGTTCTGTTGAAGCTCTGTACACTAGAAAATGAGTGGTCGAAACAACATTACTTACTTGTCATTCAGAAGACAGCAAGCCTCTTTCCTTGTTGGGTAAATCAGGTTTGCACTAATTTCTTGTTTACAAAGCAGATACAAACTTGTGTAATCACCGAGGTGGGTACGCTCCCCGCACAGTGCTGTGTGTTCTTCCATAGCGGTAGGATTAGTGTATTGGCGTGTTTGTATTTACTCTCCTCTATTATGGAAGCATGTTTGGGCAGTGAAGGAAGGGTTTTGTCTTTGAACCTGTCAAAGTTTGGGTCGCCAGGAGGCGTGAATGAAGTTTCTGTGAACTGTACCAGGTAGAGAACCTGTACAGTACAGAACTGGCGGATGGACTTCTGGATCTCTCTGTTCCTCTGTCCTTGGAGCATGTATTACAAAAACATAGATTTTTGCAACATTTGGCTGAGTAAGAACCCATTCATATTTCCTGACAACTGTGGGCATCTCCAAACTATGGGATTTTGGTTTACTTCCCCGTTCCCATGTCCAAGTTCTTTCTCAACCTGTGTCTGGACTCCACACTAAGGCAGTACTTTTGAGGGTTCATCATCTTATACCTGTGTCCTGCTGCTGTGATTTCTGCTAAAGAAAGCCCAAGGACACAGGCCAGAAGCATCCCATGGTCTGCTCCAGCTGGTCTCTGACCTGAACAACGGAGGGAGCTGTGTGCTGCGTCTGCACCTTCAGTCCTAAATAGTTTATCTGTGTGGCAGCTCCTGTGTGGACATGTAGCCAGACCCAGCTCTTCTCAAGTAGCTAAACTTGATGACATAGCTGAAGGCAATAATCATTTCCCTCAGCTAAAATGCTTCATTAGTGTTATAATGTCAGGACCATTAAAATGCAAGTGAGCCTTTTAAAATTTGAGGACAATGGGCCTTATCCTGGAAAAGATTTGAGGAAATTGCATTGATCCCAGTCCCATTATCCATGAAAAATCTACTCATACAAGTAAAGGTGTGTTGGCTGGGCCTCCCATTTTTGTTAGCTGTGTTTTATTGCTGTAATTACACCTAGTGGCTTATCTAATAGAGTCGTGTTCTCGTAAAGAAATTAAGACAATGAATGCTACTTTTAGCAAGAGTGAAGTAGTAAGTAAAATTGAATTGAAATTTGACCAAGCTCTTCTTTTTTATTTCCTAGTATCTGAATTACAGGAAGAAGGAATAAATGCCATTAACTTACCTCTCAGTCCAATTCCATTCGAACTAGACCCTGAGGACACTATGCTAGGTAATTCACAACAATTTTACATCTCAACATAAAAGCTTGATGTAAAATAAAGTGTCAGGCCTGTAATAGTTTGTAATATCTTTCTTTTAAACCTTCCAGAGGAAAATGAAGTCCGAACAATGGTTGATCCAAATTCAAGAAATGACCCAAAATTGCAAGAACTAATGAAGGTAATGAAAAGCATGTAAACACTTTCAAGAAGGTGAAACTACTTTTTAATGCTATCCCTGCCTCTTTCATTTGAACACTTCAAAGCACTATTGAGATATTAATTAAATGAAACCACGTGGTGCATACATCTCAGTGAAATGGGCAGGTCATTTGTTGTACTACCTTCCTCTAGATATTGCATAGAGAGCCTTAAGAATGTGTCTTAAAATCCTGAGTCCAGATTCTTAGTCCCATCCCACCCCCAATCTAAGATCACACTGACTTCCCTCATAGTCTTTGTGATTCTTGGGGTTAGAACTTTAGTAGGAAGCTTCATTAGAATTGACTGCAACAACTTTTACTTCACAATAAAATGTTAAAATACTACTGAAAGCAAAGGACAGATTTCACTCCTGAAGGCACTGCATGAATCTGGTATTTGTCTCGACCTTGTGGCGCGTTGAAACAGCCACCTTAGAAGAGTCCTTCCTAAGTCCTTCCTGTTTTCTTTTGGTGGCATTTCAGACTGATTGTATTTTGAGCCATTGCAGCTTTGGTATCCTTTCTGCTAAATATTTTCATCATTGTACAAAATGACATGTGTTTTAAATTGCAAATGAATAGTGTATAATACTGCCAAATTTGTGTTTCCCATATAGGTATTAATTGACTGGATTAATGATGTGTTGGTTGGAGAGAGGATTATTGTGAAAGACTTGGCTGAAGACCTGTATGATGGACAAGTATTGCAGAAATTATTTGGTAAGAAAAAAATATATGTGCATGCTGTTGAGGCACTTTGTCAGTAAGTGGATCACTTGTTCCTACTTAGGAGCCTTGGTATCATCTTACATTTATGCCACTAAGTGATATAAAAATAGCATTGTATTATGAGACCCTTGAGCAATAGGCTGTATGCACAATCCTTATAGCTACAGTGCAATGTGTGGTGCTCTGTAGTTGATGAGAACAGCATAAAGCGTACCTGGGGTGCTAGAGAGGGGGGGTTCTTGTCTTGGCAACAGTATTGACTCCAATTAAATTTATTATCTGCATATGTGCTGTACAAACTTAACCGTGTTACAAGTGGAAAGAAAGTTTGAAGGCAAGGGTATTTTCAGTACAACAGTGGATGTTTTTAATCTCTGCTGGTTCCATACGATAGTTTATTCAGATCGCGAAGTTCCTCTGGAAAGTTAGAATTTCTTTCTGATTTGATGTCTGGCTTTTAACATTACTGAGGTAATGGCACCCAGTGGACTGCAAACTGAGCTTCAGCTGAGAAACAGATAGAGAAAAGAAACTGCTAATGCAGAGCTGGCATGTGCTTTTTAAACAGTTGGCTTGGAAGCCATTTTCTTAGTTATTACAGCTCATAAAGTCTCCAGTAAATTTCTTTTCAGTATCTTAAATGAATCTTGAAACATCATGTGAGCACTCATAATAAAGACTACACAGAATATTCCCTGCTATGAATGGTTAAGCTATTGAATATGTTGTGAAGGACTGGATATGCCCCAGACTGAGCAATTTGATTCTCATGGGCAGACCTCCAGTGACTTCACCCAAACCCCCAAAAATGCATATCAGATACAGCCTGACTCTAAATATGCATATGCTTATCAAGCACTTAATGGTTTCAGTGGAATCTTTTCCATTACCCTCAGTTCCTTGTGGATCGGGTCTATGCTATCTACAGACTTTGGTCTTGTTATAAGACTCTGCACAGACTGATTTCGGTGGAGGCACAAGAAACCCATGGAAACAGCAGTGTCTTAGGCAGGACTCGTAGGCTCGTAGCTCAGGCTCAGTCTCTTTGGGAAGATATTAAGTTGGCTTTAATGAGAACAAGTTCAACTCTTACCAAGCTTAGTAAGATATTCTTTCATAGAAGTAAATTGATAGGTGACCAAGCATGTTATTTCTGTTGTTGTTATCAGGGAGCTTTTGCTGCAAAATTTGCTTTGCTTACTGTTTAATGGTAAACACTAAGCCATGTATGTATATACCTAGCAATCTGTACTAATCATTAACAAACCAATTCATAAAGTATTTTAACTTTTATTGCAAATTGAGAGTGCAGAAAAGGGCTGTGGTTTCATAGAAGGAAATTGCCCAAGGTTTTAGTTGCTTTCATACCTCCTGAAATACTTGTTTGCATTTCTTGGGTGCATCCCCCACCTCTATGGATATGGTGTCATTCACTTTTATCATAAATGGGACAAGTAAAATTTTTAAATCTCCTGAGTCTAAGGGAGAAGCCAGGAGGCTGGGACTGATGAAACAAATCTTAATGTTGGTATCTGTTTCCTAGGTTTGATTGTCTGCTGTACAAGCCACTTGCATACAGAATACCCTTTGACCAGTAGCAATAGAAGTAACGGGCCTTACCTCAGAGTCTGGTGTTCCCTAAAGGGAGTTGCAGCAAGTATTTGTTAGCCAGTAGTGTGGCTTTCATTAATACTTCGCCTTCCCCTTGGCATGGGTAAATAAAGGGAAAATGTGAAGTGTATCTTTAGGAGTTCAGAAGTGTGGGGGAAAGTGGGTCTGGAAGGAAAACCAGATAATTTTAAAACTAGGAAATATAATTTAATCTCTTCAGTGTACATCTGGGTGCATGGAATGTCTTTTGTGTTCTTTGTGGAGTTGACAATGGGTTTTCTTCTGTTTTTTCTTCTATTATCGTTTCAGAGAAACTTGAAAGTGAGAAGCTGAATGTTGCTGAAGTTACTCAGTCTGAAATTGCTCAGAAACAGAAGCTACAGACAGTGCTTGAAAAGATCAATGAAACCCTTAAACTCCCTCCAAGAAGCATTAAATGGAATGTTGACTGTAAGTTGTGTGTTTTCTATGCTCTTCTCATTTGTTGACAGTCAACAGTTTATAGTTGCTATCTGGAATTCTGAAATACCCAACGATAAGGGAAGGTGAAACCTGGTATTTATGGTAGGAGCTGTTTTGCAGGACACTTCCAGATCTGGTACACTCTACCCACTTTACTGGTGCTCAACCTCCAATTTAAATAAACTGTCTTTTCAAAGTTTGTTAAAGTATGGTGTTTCTGCTCTTAAGTCCATATGCATACCAGCTTAAAGTTTTCTGTTACTAAGTTGGTTTGTTGAAATGGGCGAGTATTTGCATAAATGTAGTAGATAGGCAGAAGGACAGTTAGGTCCTAGGACTCTTTGTTTCTGTAAAATTTGCAACATAGATATGAATAATATTTCTGGTCATTTAAGGCTGAATCTGAACCACTGACTTTGATTACAAAACTGTCATCAAGATTAGGACTGCACCCTTCCTGTTTTATTGTAGTAAAAATGAACATAGTAATATCTGATAGAAATGCCCTCAGTGGCCCAACACAAGACATTTTAGTGCATATGTGTTGCAGAAAGCAGGTTATCAGCAGTTTTAGAAAATCAGGCCTCTTAATCTGTTTTAAGTTTGGTATCCAAAATCATTTCACACTGGTGAATACGTTGACCAGTATATAGCTGTTTCCCTGTCTCCTGTACCTGTCTTGAGCTTAGCCATTTTGTATGCTGTTCCATTCACAACAAAGTAGTGAGAGGGAGAGAAATAGCTCGAGGGATGAAGAGTAAACATTAGTATCTCTGGCTTTCCCCTTCGTGTGGTCCCACTGAGTGTGTTTTATCCCCATCTCTCTTCAGCATTCCCCCAGCTTTTTTGCATTCTCTGTTACGCAGCTGGAGGCAGGGTGTTTGAAGTGGCCTGACAGTTTAACTTCTAGTTTTAATTTAATGTTTTACATGTGTTTTAGAGCTAAAGTAGAGATAGACAGCAGCAGCTGGAGCCAGCTGTAGCACACAGCAGTGCTAGGCAGACAGACATCTTTTTAGTGCTCTGCTAAAGCACCTTATCCATGACCACTGGCACCCTCGCAAAATTTGACAGCAGTGCTGTGAATCAATGGGTATCTCCACAGCGTAGTTGAGACTTGAATTGAAAGGTGATGAAGAAAGATATTTTAGTGAATTTGATCCTGCTTCGCCAGTGAAGTAAGGTAGTAGTTATTGGTTAATTCAAGTACAAAAAATGTAAGTGCACTGTACTGTAGCTATCAAAGATCATTTAGGAATACTGCTCTAGGGAAGACTATAAATGCAAAAACAAAATAGAAGAAAGGCAATAGTAAGAATTAGAAATTACTCACTTCCATGCCAATGGTTTGATACTTGATTAAGGATTTCCTACTGTATGGCTTTTGATATCTTGTAGGTCGTGTTAGTGTTAACTACCCATATGAAACCTGCTGTGAAAAAGCTTCAATAACAAGAACTATAACAACTTCATGAGGAATGTTTGAGTCATTGAGTTTAGTAAGTTATTGCTTAAGGCTTCTGCCAAAATAGGCTCGTTTATCATCCTGCAGACATCGTGACACTTAAAAATGAATAAGTGCATGTTATGAGTACAAAAATATCTTTCTGATAGTCCATAAATCCTTATTGAAATAAAGGGAATAAAGGAAAGGCAAGGAGAATGCAGAGACAGCACTTAAACTGCCGTACATGAAGTCTGGCTTTTGGATTAGCTTTAGATTTCCATCTACACAAGCCTATGGCATCCAGACATGTTGCAAAAAGTAATGCTTTGGAGGTGATGCATGTTACTGACTGGGCTGCATTCACATGACCTGTTGAGCAGGAGGAGACCAGTAAAGGAGAGGTGCCTTAAAAGTGCCCCCTGGCTCTAGGTGGCAAGAGGGAGTCCCATAATCCCTACATCTAAAAAGTAAAAATATGTGCCCTAGTTACTTTGCAGTTTGTAACTTGTGCTTCTAATATCTATTTCAGCTGTTCATGCTAAAAGTCTCGTAGCAATACTTCATCTTCTGGTTGCGTTATCACAGTATTTTCGAGCACCGATCAGACTCCCAGATCATGTGTCCATTCAGGTTGTTGTTGTGCAGGTAAGAGAGGTGTTAAACAGCTCTTGCTAATGTTGTGAAATGAACTGAAGGGTTTCTTGAAAAATACATCTAGAGTTTCTGTTTGGGCAGGCATGCATGTGTCTCTTTGGCTGACAAGAAACACACGTGCATCTTCCCTGCTGACAGTGCTTCAACCAGAAAAAGGCAGAAGTGCTTTACCAGATTGAGCTGTGGATCAGAATATCTTATTTTGATTGTGAGGGGGCCAGACTCTGCCGTTAAAAATACATGAAGCATTATTATTGTTGGAATGTGTTTGTTTATCACCCAATATGATCTCTAGAATTATTATTTTTCCCGTTTTTGACGGTCTTCTCACTTGTGTAGAGATTCAAATCATTCTTGGCACTGGATGATGAATTGTCACTGTTTATTACATTCGGATTCATGTTAGGTGACTAAATATTCTTTTTCAGCCTTGTGCATGCTAATTTAGTCTGATTACAGTGTTGGCTTTCTCATAAGCATGCAAAAAAACCCCATCAACTAAATCTTTTGTGTCAGTCAGTCTCCTTATGAGAGCCTCATCCATCCAAACTCTTCATGTTTTTCTGTTCATCATTTTTCTTTCAGTTGGAGTTGTGCTTGCTTTATCTTATTTGGCCTCTTCCCATTTATTCTGCTTTTGTTTCTCTCCAATTAACTTTGCCTTTATTTTTCACACTGTAACTGTCTTTATTTATGTTTTTTAATTGATGTTACACTGAAGTATCTGGTGCAAAGAGCTATTGCTCAAGTTTTGTGTGACTGAAAATCTGTGTGACAGATCTAAGAAAGTAACCACTCCTTTTTCTAGCATTCAAATCCGACAAGTTTTGTAATTTGGGGAGAGATCTGAAGGAGAGTCTCTGGTAGATGTATCACTGACGCCTGATAATGACTCGTTGACTCTCAGATTCTGCTTTACGTGTTTCTTTACAGACAATGAAAGAGAACCCCAGAAAATCTGCACTTATGTGTCTCAGGCTTCAGAGGAATATAATTTTTAAATACTTTCCTTTGACTATTATAAATACATTAATCACACAGGTTAATCTCAAAGTTCTACCAAAAAACAGCTTAAGAAGTCAGGAGTGCAGTGATCAGGGCATCTTTGGGAGGAGAAAGTAAACCTAAAAAAGAACACAGGCCTAAAATAAAGAACCAGATCTTGCATTCTGCTGTCACTCCATACGTCCAGACAAAATTCCCATTGAAATCAATGGACATAATTGTCGTCTTCTTTAATAGGCTGGTGTAGCTCAACAGCAAATCCACTGAAGTCAGTAGAGATAAACCAATTTGAAAACAATAAGTAGTGAGAGAATCTGGCTCACTGCTTTGCCTCTTAGTGACACAGCTGTAGCTCAGGCGCCAGTCAATTGCAGAGAAAGCAGTTGCACCAGAATAAAATTCAAGTAATGTTGCAGAAGATTTTGCCCTGCAGACCCAGTCCTTGGTGAAAGCCAATCAGTGGAACTCCAAGGCTATGCTGATTCCTGTTAACATAGGGTGGGGACCAGTATTCTTACTGTAATTTTGTTTGAGACATTTGTCATTTTTATTTTGTGGTGGGTGGGTTTTTTATTTTTATTTTATGGTGGGTGGGTTTTTTATTTTTATTTTTTAGATCTCTCTTTCATGTCCTGTGGGATTGGTTCTGTGTAATTATGTACCCTTTCAACTCAATGAAAGTTTTAATCAACAGTCAGCAGATCCTAGTTTAGTGCTCAAACTTGGATGCCTCATATTCTAAACCCTCATACATTCTGTAGAGTAAGGTCCTGCCTAGGGAAACTCAACAGACTATGTGGTAGCTGGTTTTAAATTCTGCTCTATACAGTTTGATAAAGGGAATAGTACAGAGAAAGAAATAAAAAAATGAAGTACTTTAATGAAGTCTTTAAGAAAGACTACCATAATTCATTTCATGATTTTGTTAGGTTTAGAAACACATAAAATGTGAGAGTTGCCATGTTGGCTGGGTGCAGTTTATTGAAACAGAAACAAAGATATTTCTGAAACAAGAAAGGTGCTCATGCCCAACAGGTAATCAGCACAGTTCTTATGAAAGCTTGTTTCCTTTGGCTGTTTTGTACAAAAGCTGTTAGCAATGAGAGTGATATAAAATCTGGGTTGTAAGCTGATCTGGGAAAAAATGTGATAGTTGGACATTTTGTAGCTATTTTGTTATATTATTTTCTTTTCCTTCCATAGTGATAGAATTAATAACTGAACAAAGCCCAGGCTTCATTTGATCATTTCTACTGAAGCAAGTGAGAGCCTTTGTGGGGAGCTGGATCTTGCCATCTTTTTGCCTCTTTTTAAAAATTATTTATGCCATCCACAAATGGTTAAATGACAGATTGTTTGTGTGGAAGAGCTGTAAGTCAGAGAGTATAAGAATGCATTGGCAGAGCAGCCAGAATGGCTTCAGCATGTTCTGAGCACTGGGACAGCAATTCTTGGCTGCATAAACCTACGGTTAAGCAAAGCTAGGAGATTAATGAGATTAGAAGAAGGTGTACATCAGAAGCTTAATCTGAGATCATTGGTCCTGCTGCCTCTCTGAAAGCCCTGGGAAGGTCTGAAATGTTTCTGAGCTGCATTGCCTCCAGGTTCCCAAGAAGTCTTTTTTTGAACCTATGACAAGTGTATTTGTTCTTTCAAGCTCCGGAATAGTTCTGCGTTTCTGCATCTTGGTGGAGCAATTATAAAACATGATCCTTCAGATGAAATGAATGGCAACAATACATAGGTAAAACCCATTCAAATAGTGGGAACATTTTCAGAATGGGACTTTGTGTGGGAAGTGAAGCAGTTGGCCCTCAGTTATATAAAACTGCTGACATCTAGGTGATGCAAAGAGACATGAACAAGAGAGACCCTTTCCATTTCCAGATATATTACCCAAATTTCAGATGTATTTTTTTGTTCTAGGGGTAGTCACCAATTTAAAATAAGTGACTAACAAGATCTTTCATGACTTTTAGTGGAATCTTTCATCTGTGTGGGAAGAAGATGCCAAGCCTGTCCAAGTAAAGTCTTCTGTGGTTGCTGGAATGTGCGTCCAGCTTTTCTTTTTAATAGGGAAACTTAATTCATGCCTCATTTCTCAGTGACTTTTAAGTAGTAGATGTTCATTTTTATTATTTGTTATTGCAGCTATAGTCACTGTTGTCTTGACTGCTGGACAGTCTTTCAGTCCTCAGTGGCACTTCTTTGTATTTTTAGGAATATTGTGTCATTCTCTGTCTAGTATAAAACAAACTTCACAAAAGTTGCCATCAGTGTTAGGGTCAGTTTTTGAGGTGGAGAGTGCTTAAAGTGTATGGGAAGCACCCTTCACAGGGAAGGTGCTTAGATTAGTGTTTCTAAGGTCCGTTCTGATTTTTGCCTTTGGGACTTTTTCATGAGTCTTTTTACAAATCAAAAGCATAGGAAAGTCTATCTTGACATGTGCTCATCAAATAAGTGCTCAGCAGATTCATGTCATATTTCAGCTGTGTGGAAATTCCATTAATGTTAGTGATCAGATGCTAGGCACAAAACTAGGGCTTGATGTCTTTTTTTTTTTTTCTTTCTTTCTTTTTTGTCAACAATAGGAATTCCTATTGATATTAATTGCAGTTTATCAAAAAGGGAAATATGTTTTATATTGGTACTGGAGTATGTTTTAGGCTATTATTGCGTGTTTGCAGAGGGAAGGTAGGGTATTAGAAGTTTTTTTCTTCTCCCATGCCACCAGACTGGGCTCTGAGAAGTACAGTTGCTGTTGCTGTGATGCTCAACTCCTCTAGGACACAAGAGTGAGAGGCCTTTTGCTCCTGAAGGCATCATTGGCATGTCAGAGTCATCATCAGGAGGAAATAGATGTTTCCGTTCACCTTACAGCAAAGTGAAAAATAAATAGAAATCCTAAACAGAGTGGAATTCTTAACTTCAGCTAGCATGGACTACATTGTAACTTCAAGTGCAAGTACTTATTGCTGTCTGCACAAGCTGGAAATGGAGGTAGCTGTAAATGATGTAGTTTTTCTTTAGGCTTTCAAGATCTGACAGAAGATGTCTCAGCAGCTGTTCTTTGCCCCCTCTTTCAGTATGTAACACACTGGCCTCCGCTCTTTTTAATGTTCAAAGTTCCTCCTTGAATGCATTTTTAACCGTGTACAAGATATTTAGTAACAGGGCTTTACAAAGAATGATGGAAACCTTCCAAAACTGTCCTCTAGCTAAAAGGACAGTTCAGATTACTCCAAGTGCCACTCTGGAGTCACCCAGAGAGTGCCAAATATATGGCTTTCTTGCTGAAAGTAAGTTTGATCCTCATGTATTTTAGTAATGCAGTATAGAAGGGATAGGCTCAAGCCTGGCCAAATCCTCAGCACATCATACACCAAGGACTGCCTCAGGGAGGGATGTGCTATCTTCTTCAAGGCAGGGAAGAGCAGCAGCCCCAGTTCACATGCTTAGAAGGGCTTCTGCAAAAGGTTATTCTCCTTTTCTCTTTTCCACATAGAAGGCAAATCTAGGACCAGCATGAATTTATTTTTCTCATTTCCTTGTATGACAGGGAGTGAAGAATTATGAATAATTGCCTAATGTCTAGACTTTACATGCAGTCGTCAGCATTTGCCTGACTTTTCTCTCTGTATTGCAAAATTTTACTAATTCGAGTGAATAGAATTAACAGAGAGAACACAAAGAGGCAAAACATATGTGTGGTATTTACACTGCCACCAGATGACTGTGACCAGCATCCTGGAAACAATGTCAAATTTTTAAACTCCTTAATTTTCCAACTGGCTCAAATAGCAACCATTTGAGCTGGCTTCTGCCATTTTGTGTACAGCTTCTAGACACAGGCCACACACCACCATGTACGAAGGACTTCTCACATCTCAAGAACGCTGGAGTCTGTGCATATATTAACACCAAGATGGCTAGTGTCTGGAGCAGGCTGGGAATGGATTATCCTCCATTTTGGTTTTCCACCACAAGCAAATAGAGCTCTTTGTGTGGAGGCAAGTCAGAAAAGGGAAACATTGAGGCAAAAAAGAAAGTGTATGAACAGGGCAGAAAGAACAAATAGCCCAGGAGCAAGATTTTTGCAAAAGAGAAGCATGGCCACCATCTGCCAAGCTGTTCGTTGAAATACAAGGTTTAATTCACCTCACCTAGACATACCTCTACTAAAATACTTACATATGTGTTTAGGTGTTTCAAATGTCTTGCTGAATTGGGACCTTTAAAAGAAAAGTGAATTAAGAACAATAAAGAAAGGGAAAGAAATACTTCCTTCTACAGGTGGAGCTTCAAGTTTCTTGTTAATGTACAGAAGAGTTTTCTGAAATACTTGAAAAGTGAAATAATGTATTACTGTAGGTGTGTTTAAAAAAAGTTCTTATTTTGCAGGTTTCTTATCTAATTATGTTTGTGGATCACAAATAAGTTTTTGCTGTACCCTAAGCATTAGACCTTGCTGAGAAAAATGTTACCTTTTTTTTTTCCAGAAACGAGAAGGAATCCTCCAGTCTCGACAAATCCAAGAGGAAATAACTGGTAACACTGAGTATGTCAACACCACTTTTGCCAGCAGTTCAGTAATTGAATGCAGATGCATCTCAGAAATTCAAACATTTGCTGATATTTAGATTTTGGTATTGGGGTTCCAGGGAAGATGATGCATCAGCCAGTGACTGTATTTTAGCCTTTTCAAGAGCTGCAAACATGCATCTAAAAATACAAAAGGGTGAGGAAATACAGAGCTGGGGAACTAAAAGCAAGAGACCAGGATAAAACAGAAGACAGAGTGAATATATACAAAATGTGTATTTTATATTTATCTACTATTAATTAATTTCTGTATTTATTATATAGCTTGTTGTTTTATTCAGAAGTCTTTCAAACAAACAAGAAAGATATGCTTCATTCTTTTATGTTGGTATTTATTTGGTAGGAACTAGATTCTTTCAAAAAGGAATGTGATATGACTATTTTTAGGTGTTTGGACTTTAGGGATGTAAAATTACGGTAGTAAGCCCTGTACATGTCATCTGACCAAACAATTTATAACAGAAAAGTTAGTCCAAACCAACAGAAAGCAGTGGTAGAATATCCTAGTTTCTAATAGAATGGAGAGAAGCTGAACTATTGACTTGTTATTAATCTTTATTGATTTGTTTATGTGTAATAGTTATATGAGATATCAACTGGAACAAAATGCTGGAGTCCTTAAGATCCCAGTCCAAACATTGTTTTGGCTGGAATTGTAGTTGGTGTGGTAAATGCATCTTTAAACCAGAGGGAAAAGTTTTCATAAAATCAACGTGAAAAAGCCTTCTTCACTCAGGCAAGGTGTGCTGATTTGGTTCAGTAATAGGAAATATGAGGTCTGGCTTCCCATAGACTTTAGTGAAGCTGGGAGATCTTATACAGATGGACTCCAGGCTAATCCAGATTCTCAGTTAGAGTAACTTGATGAAGATTTTCTTAATTCCGTGGATCTACTCCAGTTTTCGCCAAGCTGAAGATCTGGCCATGTATGCTGTTTTCTTTTGCAGCACAATGCCTGCAAGTGAATTATATTTAGCTGTGTTTTGTTCTTTTCTTTTTTTTTTTTTTTTCCATAGGGCATTATCAGGAAGGCATGGTAAGTTCATTTGATTATTATCTTTTTCTTGAGGCATACATTAGTTCTGCAATGGGTGGTCACTTTGGTCAGACTGCAGGGAGGTAAAGGATTCCATGTTGCCGTGGCAAATATATAAATATATGCCCCACATGCTGTTGTGGCAGTTAACAAAAGGAAAAAAAAAAAAAGCATTAAAATGAGTCTGACCATCTTTAAAACACATTTCATTGCTTTTCAGCACGTGTTAATTTGCAGGTGCTTTGTGGTTTAACCTCCGGAACATTACTGTAATGGTATTAATGGTCATAAGTTCACAGCAAAATACAAAATGATGTCTTATCATGAACCAGCTGGTGAACTCATTGGCTTTCTTGCATACATTACCTACTTACACTTCAATGCCTTTGAGTCATTATTCAGCAGGCCTAAACACCATGCAGGTTCCTGTGCCTCCTCTGTCTTACTGCTAGTACTGAGACTGGCCAAATGCCTGGCCAACTGAAAATGCTCATCTGAGGAGCTTAGGTGGAGTCCCACCAAGAACTTAGCGTTTGCTTCTTGCATTATTTCAGTGGCTGCCTTACAGTTGGTTTAAAAGGCTACATGCATGACCTCTTTTCCCAATGATATCCCTGAGCAGTCTTACTTTGTATGAAGTATGCCTTCTACAAATGCCTTTGGATCTACTCTAGCATTTTTTTATTGAGCAATATGAATGTAGTTTTTTGTGGAGTCATTCCCTATCATTCATGTGATTGTAGAGATGGAAATTGCTCAGAAAAGGCTCTGGCGCCTTTTTTTTTTTTGTTTGTTTGTTTCTTTCTGTTTTCTTCAGCAGGTGACTACAGTAGCACTTCAGTTGTGCTACCCTAGGTTGCCTATCCTGCTGATAAGGTCCTAAATTGCATATCAGAACAGCTCAAAACCATCTATACAAAGGACTGTATTACACTGTGTAATCATAAGCTTGCTTGAAGTGGTTAATAATATAGCACACCACAATGCAGTCAGTGGCCCTCTGCAGGTGTAGTGGCTCTAGATGTAAACTCATGTTCTTCTGCATGCGATGATCTGGTTACTTACCAGCCCGTATCTGGCTGTTTAAGGTTTTATGCATAAAAATACTACTCTTTGTTCATTTTTGACAAACAGGGTTATTACGTAATCCAAATCCTACTTAAAAATTACACTTTTTGTAAATAATGGAGAATAAGCTACTTGCAGCTTATAGTAAGAGGCCAGTATGGAAAATACATAGCACTTGGAATACAAAGAAGACTCTATTGAAACTTTTTGCTGACTATTGTCTTAAACAAGCATGTGCTGAAATAAGTGTTTATTCTGCTTTTGGACAACTGCTGCTCAGTATATTAACATCTCTGAATGCTTTTTCAGAAAGAGATGCATTCGATACTTTATTTGACCATGCTCCAGACAAGCTCAATGTAGTGAAAAAGGTAGGAAGGTTTTTATTTTTAAAATGCATAATGTGTACGTGTGCATGCTTGTGTGTATCTATTTGTATATACATAGTGAGTGTGTATATATAAAATATATAATTGGCATAGTGTGCATACATTACATACAATTAGGCTTTATGCTTAAACAAATATACAAATTCATTATTGTAATGTTACTTTGTATTAATATTTATCAGCATGAGCTTAACTTTGGAACACAGAACAACATGTAGTTATCAAAGTTGCCATCAAAAAAAAGTTCTCACAGTGTATGTTGAGTAGAACCCAAGTGGTAGATTCAGTGTACTGATGCCAGAAGGTATCCAGTTTAGAACTGCCAGGGGTCTAACCTAGAGTATTTTGGCTGCTGTCAGATTTGAGTGGAGTCCAGTTACCCACTTCCCTATAGCCTGCTACAAGGGTTTTTTTAATAATGACTATGTTTTAACAGTGTATTTTTACGTATATACATCACATTCATTTTATTTCTGTTCTTCATTCTTGGGGAAAAAAATATGTCACATTTCAATTTTGAAACTTAAAAATTGTGTTGCAGTCTCTTCACTCATGCAGATTCTCTTGTGAGTGGAGTTCATATTTGCATACGTTGAACTGCTGCCGTCCGGAATAGGCCTTCACTACATTGTTTTCATATTTCAGACTCTCATCACCTTTGTGAACAAGCATCTCAATAAATTGAATTTGGAAGTCACTGAACTGGAGACCCAGGTAGGATTTTACAGCCTTTCTTAAAACGGACGGATAGTTGCAGTGTGTTATGCACTGTGCCACCCAACTTTATCCAGAAGTTTCATTGAATTATTATCGATTGAGCTCTAAGCTGCTATTTCAGCGGGGAGCCCTTCAATTCTAAATATGTTCATATGAAGAAGAGCTTCTTCACCAGTAAAGCAGAAAAATCATGAGGGCAGATAAATTTCTCTAAAACAGTTTTGTACTGCTATTAGCATAAAAATTAATTAACAGCTGCTACCTCTTGGGCACTGTGAAGTGCTGTAAGCAGAACTTGGGCTTGTTTTGGTCAGGAAAGAGCTCTGTCTGCTTGGTTTGATCCAACATCAAGCTGAACAGTTGTTTCCTGCCTACCTTTGCACAAGCATGCAATCGCATGGGATTACAGTGACTCTATTCAGTGAGATGCGTTCCTGAGGGCAAAGCTACTGAATAGGCAGCTGTATGGCTGGGCTGCAGGCTTGATTACACCACAGAAATAATGTGGTACATGGTCTTCTTTCTTGTTCTCAGCTGATAAATTAACTGGAAAGAAGCTAAAATAAAAGCTTAATCCTGCTGTATTAATACCTCCCCATGTGAACAATTGCAGCAGTTATAAGAAAATTACAAGGTCAGGCAGGAAGGATGGTATCCACACTATCAAAAAAACACAGGTGTCTTCAGGACAGGCTTTATTTTATGTCTTGATTCATGTTACTAAGAATCTCTGGTTTATCTGGTCTTAATTTGGTAGAGATTTTTCAAAGGTAAAATTAAGATTTAGATGGAAAAAATCTGTAAGGGCTTTCAGAAAGGTGTTCCCTATACCTGCTTATTGCATTGTTTACTTTTGTAAAAAAAGTATTATTAAAATGTACTGAGAAACCCCTTAAGCATTTATCTGAAACCGTATTCCCTAAGATGACAGATGGTATTTCCATCAGTTGAAAGAAAATTTTCTCACTCAGGAAGGTGATGTGTTGCTTCAGATAACTCAGTTTGTTTGTGAGAATATCTCAGTGCACTGATAGACCTAATGCCACAGGGGTAAGAGTGAGAGGCCTTGAACAAAGTCTTCTGGATGTTGCTATTTTTTTACATCGAAATGAACATATATCATAGCAATTAGATATCTTCCATCTGTATTTACATACACTTAAAATTAGATTGACACAGACTTGCAGAACATGGACAAAGATGATTCTTTGTTCCCTTATTTCTTCCAATATACTGAATTTCAGTGCAGTCATAAAATTGCACCTTCATTCTGCTTTTCTCTGCTCAGGCAATGCATGCCATTTGAGAGCTTGAAAGGTGGCTGTTCTGATTCCCCACAACTAGTAGAACAGAAAGCAAAGGCATAGATCAAAGCTACTGACATCCTCTCTTTCCAGGAACTTTATTCTGCATGTGTAGTTTAGCATTAGGTCAGTTTTGGAGAAGACATAACAGAATGTACTACCTAAATAAATTGAATCAGAGAAGTGAGATGAGAGCTTGTAGTTGCAGTTTAAAATATTTGTATGTTGTGGTTTAACCCCAGCCGGCAATGAGCCCCACACAGCCGCTCATCGGGGACAGAATATTGGAATTGGGGACAGAATCGGAACCTCCAGCGGGATGGGAGAGAGAACTGGAAGAGTAAAAGTGAGAAAACTCATGGGTTGAGATTAAAACAGTTTAATAGGTAAAGCAAAAGCCGTGCACACAAGCAAAGCAGAACAAGGAATTAATTCACTGCTTCCCATCAGCAGGCAGGTGTTCAGCCACCTCCAGGAAAGCAGGGCTTCATCACGCATAACGGGTACTCGGGAAGACAAACGCTGCAATTCCAAGCGTCCCCCCATCCTTCTTCTTCCCCCAGCTTTATATGCTGATCATGACATCGCATGGTATGGAATATCCCTTTGGTCAGTTGGGATCAGCTGTCCCAGCTGTGTCCCCTCCCAAATTCTTGTGCACCCCCAGCTACTCACTGGTGGGGTGGGGTGAGGAGCAGAGAAGGCCTGGGCTCTGTGTGAGCACTGCTCAGCAATAACGAAAACATCCCTGTGTTATCAGCGCTGTTTTCAGCACAAATCCAAAACACAGCCCCATACTAGCTACTATGAAGAAAAATTCACTCTATCCCAGACAAAACCAGTACGTTCTTCACCCCTTATTCCATACCATTTACGTCATGCTCGGGACCCACACTATCCAATGCATCCTGATGAACCCCCACCGCCCTTCCCGTCCTTTGGTATAATAAACAGATATCATTTCCGTAGTCTATGGACCACCCCTGTAAAAATGTCCACAAATTTCCACAAAAGGTCCACTGGGTTACTTTAGTCCGTGACTTTGAGCTCCGTCTGCTATGGTGTTCTGCATTAGACAATATGTATCTTGCTCATTAAGCAAAGTACTGAGTTATTCTTCAGAAAATACACAGAGAAATGTCTTTTTTACAGTTTGCAGATGGTGTGTACTTAGTCCTGTTGATGGGTCTCCTAGAAGGCTATTTTGTTCCTCTGCACAGCTTTTTCTTGACTCCTGATAGTTTTGAACAAAAGGTAATTGGATTTCATTTTTCTGTTAAAAACAAACAAGCATATAAACATGTCTAGTATTACAAGGATGACACAAACTTTTCCATGCTGAAGTCAAGAGAGGACTGTACTGGTAACCATTTCCAAGCATTTTTAAGGTCTCACTATTAATGCTTATTTGGAATAACAGGGAAAATTATATTAATGATGGGGTGGTTAGCAAGTATTACCTGCTTTTGACAGCCATTGTGTGATACTGTCATTGAACCAGACTTACTGTTCATTAAGTGTATAGAGAGTTACACAGCTGAATTGATGACAGAACTGATTTTTTATGTCCAAAATCCAAGAATTTAACTTTTGAAAGGTTTCATGTGTTTTGGAAGCATAAAGGCATATATGTACGATGTATCATTTTAAGACCGTCACCTCAGTGTCTGTTGCTATCCAGGAAGTTCAGCTGTCTGTTTAAGACGAGAGTGCTTCATGGGCCATCACGTTCCAATTTTTAACCTTGAGGGAGGTGGGCTTTTCTTACTTGTAAGTAATTTTTCTATGGGTAGTATAGTTCACATTTTATCTTAAAATTACTTCTATATTTCTGAAACCACCATCACCATCCAGAAAAAAACAAAACAATGGATTGTCTGGATTCCATGGACAAGATCTTCCACTAATATATGGAACCCTGACTATTTTTTCCTTCCGAGCATCTGGGTCTGCAGCTTTAAATACATCTTGTTTTGACCATTTATAGTATGCTGTATGTAGTTCACAATGATGACTACCTTTATTATATTACTAGGTCCTCAATGTATCTTTTGCGTTTGAGCTAATGCAAGATGGTGGATTGGAAAAACCAAAGCCAAGACCAGAAGGTATCTGTTCTAGTTTTTTTGTATCTCCTTAAAAATTTTTGTTGGATCCAGATCTCGTCTCATAGGATTCTGGTATGGCTAAATGAAGGTTAAAACATTAAACCAAGAGTGAAAGGCAAGACATATTTTGAAGTGCTCAGGTAACTCTGTATTTTAAATGACTGATAGATATGCTTTTTCAAATCTTGCAAGGCTTGCTTTCTTGAACGGCCAGGGTAAGATTTGCATGACCAAACATATACAGTAAGACTCAGATATTCACTGAAGGAAAAAGAATACAATTGTGAATGGTGTCACTGGCAGATATTCATTCCTCCAATTGCTCTGTTTTCCCCCCATCTCACATCTTCATACTAAACCTCAAGTATTCCAGTGTAATTTACAAGATTTTCACAAAAGAAGTAGATGTTATGGAAGAAGAATTTCGCATAACTGCTTTTGAGTACAGGACCTAATAATGAATATTTAGATTCGATTTAGAGATGGAGACTGAAAGTAAAATGTGTCTTCAGGGAAGATGAAGGTTTTGCTGCTGACTTTAGCAGGACTAGGATTCTACTCCCCTTTGCTCATATACATGCAGGGTTTAAATCCAGCTTTTCGGGCTGGATATGGGGCCCTTGATTCACCATGTTGTAGGGTACTCTTGTGATTCCTCCCATGATAAGTTACTTCTTACCATGCAGGAGCTGGACCTGCAGCATCTGCTCCACTTTTCCCAGCAAGGTTGGTAGCTGGGCTTCTGCTAGTTACCTACCATAACAACCAATACATGTGTGTTTCCAAGACTCATTGCAGATTCACATTCTTTGGTGCACACAGTCTTTTGCTGACATAATATTGGATTGCCATTCCCTGAGGGGTCGATACAAGCTGGTGCTCAGAATTTTACTTCTAATAGTAAAGGCTCTCTGGAGATTCAGGCAGACATCACTGAATCAAGTTCTGCTCCATTCTGCTTGTTTTCCATCCTTCCCAACTTCCAGATCATAACAGCATCAGACGTACACACACACACACACAAAAAAAGTCTCAGGATTGAGCCTATGCTGTCTGTGCGTTTAATCTGGACCTACCCAGTCTTTTTTCCACTTCTTTTGATTGCTTGAACTCTTATCCACAAACACGCTTAACTAAACCAGTGGTGGCTGTATCACAAACTTTTATGTTTGAAATAGTCAAAGAGAGAAGGGGGAAATAGTGAAATCTAGGGGTCCAAGTAAAACAGAGAGTATCTGTGATCCCTTATTCCCCATGGAGGTTTAAAATTCTTATGGCATTTAATTTTTCAGGTATTTATTGCTCTAAGGGACAGCTAATTTTTCCAGTATAAATCAAGCCATAAGGTTGTTTCAGCATATATAAGACATTTCTTGTGCAATTATTGAAATGCTTAATATGAAACTTCCTGCCCAATGTGAATGGAAAAACACATCTGTTTTATGTGTTGTTACATTGGGCACAATGCCCATACTTAAAATTTCCAGTGAGCAAGAGAGTATTGAAAAGGATCTTACCCTAAATGTGTATACTAAATACTCTTTAAATTCCTACACTGTTTCTTTGAGGTTCTTGAGGAAAAAATATGCTGAAAAGTGCTTTAGAATATGAAAAACATATTTAGTGGAAAAAAGAATGTGGTTAAATAAATGGGTATGAAAACCAATGATTTTTATGGGGTCAACAGTTTATTTGGGTTATTTGCAATATAATTGAAATGGTATTAAAAAGCTTTCCGTGACCTTTTACTTTAAAAATGGCCAGAACATTAATCTACTGAGTCTATAACAAATTCATTTGCAGTCTGAGCTTTTTCAGATTACTTCTTGAAATGTGTACATCAAAGCCAAACTCAAGTTTCTCTTTTTGAAAAGTGCAACCAGTAAAATGTTATACAAGTTGGTCAAACACATTTAGCAATGGAACTAACTCATCTTTCTCTGGGAGCGTGCTTCTATTTAGTTTGGACCTTTCTGTGGAATTCTGTTTTGCTGGTGGAGTCTTCTGATAACTTTGCAAAGTTTGTTAAAATTATCTCTTTTTTCATTTAAGTTCTGTATTAGGAAAGGAAGGTGTTATGCACCTTCCTGCTGGCCTGAAAGAGGAAACTTTCTCGAGTCATATCCAAACAGTATTGCAGAGTATAACATGATGTTGCGAGAGCAATGTGCCCTTCCTGTAGTTTTTGGAATTTTTTCCAAATACCAAGTATTTTTGATCTGATTTGTTAAGAGCCACAAAACTACGTGGCCATAGTTTCATGACCATGCATAGGCTCAGCATAAAATCTAGGTTTGAGTATTTACACCCTTTGTCCATGGATGTCAGTTTGCCATGTAGCTAATATCTTTAACCCTTCAAAATTTGCATCCTCTGGGACACCATACATAGGTTTGATTGAATTCATTCTTCAAAGTGTAACCCCTTCACAATCTGTGAGAAACATCAGTGTAGATAAATATAATGGCAAAACCATCTGATGATAACATACACAATTTGCTAGGCTTACTTGGAGGTTTTGAAGATAATGGGAGTATGCACACCATCTGCTTTACACCTTAATGGCCAATTCCAAGAACCAAAGTTAGGAGACTGAATTCCTACACAGTCAGCAGAAAGAGAGAGGACTATTCTAATTCTACTCTATTCTAATCTCTTCTTTCTGAGGGCAATTCTAAGTCCCTATTTGAGACTGAATATTCCTTGAAGCACTAGTATAGACAGCTGCAGTAGTACTTGTCAGTTTGTTTTATAGATTTCTTGTGAAATAATATTGACTTTCTCAACAACTTCTCTTGGAAACAGCAGGTATTAATTAGTTTTTTGTTTCATATAAATCCTTTACTTTAGATGCTGAGTTTCTAAGAACTGTCCATCAGCTAACGCAAAGCATTTTCGGAAGTGTCTTAGAGGGGCACTTGTATACTTAACTTCTTTAGATCCTTTAGAAAATTGAAACTTGCCTCTAGCTATCTTGCTGAAATTAGGCCTAATAAAGGATATTGCAGCCCAGAATGGGCCAAGTCCTGCAATTCTTACAGAAGAGATTCATTGGTTCCTGCCTGATGATTTTTTTTCAAAATCATTACTCTTTGGCCACAAGTGACAGAATATTCAGTCATATAAATATACGTAATCCTAGGCACAATTTGTCTCAAACCTTGGTTGCGTTTCTACATCAGCACCATTAGCCATTTGTATCCCTAACCAAAAGTGGTTGAAAGAATGTTTTTTTGACTGCCAGTTTAAAAACAGTGCTTTTTTAATGTTTCTGCTCTTTCTTATTCTCTTTGTGCTTTGAATATTTATGGATATGGATCTGAGCAACGAAAGGGAGTAAAGAATAGGCACTTTTAGTGAAAATGTTTTGAGATAATGAAGTTACTAATGTTTTTTCCCTTGTCTCTTTTTGTAGATATTGTAAATTGTGACTTGAAGTCTACACTGAGAGTACTGTACAATTTGTTTACCAAATACAGGAACGTGGAATGAAGAATTGATGTGGACCATAAAGGAGTGTTAACAAAGAAAGCATCATAATTAGCGTATTTTTCATCGGTATTCCTCTGCATCTTTATCCTAAAAGGAGCTAAACCATTTATCTGAAGAATTTTTAAATTATTATGCTTGCGTTCCTGTTTCATAGCAGGTTTAAAACTAATATAAATTATGAAGAAAAAGGTTTGGAGAAAGGTGTTTGGGTATATTGTGGGAGAATTCATGTTTCAGTAATAACTGTCTTCACACTGTTTTGTAATAGGTGAAGCAAGAATGAAAAAAAGATTTAGTAGCTTTAATTCAAATCAACCTTTGAAGCCAATCATAGGAAGATTCAGCACTGAGTATCTATTTTAATATTTTTTACATATATTGTTTCTAATCTGGGGATTTTCTATCCGTGATAAGAAGGTTGCATTCTAATTATGAGAAACGTGCATGGGGAGAAACAGTTAAATACTCTTGTTCACTTCACAGCTAAAAATAAGAGACTTTCTCAAGCACTTAACCTGATTAGTTTATATTTCCAGTGCTGTTAGGCTTGAATTTTGTGGGTACAAACTGAAGTGGCTACTTATTCCTTCAGACTTATTAGAATGTGATTCTTTGCTTTAAATGTGTGTTATTGAGCATTCCACATAAGCACACTTTGCAGCTTGTCACTTAGTTTTTTTCAAGGAAGGTGTTTTCCTTGCAAAGTACACATTTCAGAAGAATGCACCTGTATAATAAAGTTTCCCTATAATGTTTTTATTATTACATAGTATTAGAAAGTAAAAGAACAGCTTGTTTTTCTTTTAGTAGTTTAAAGACAGGATTACTGGGTTGCAAGTATAGATTTATTGCTAAATAGGATTTAGAATCTGTCCCTTTGGTTGATTTTATGATGAATGTATTTTGCTGCATAATGTCCAACATGAAAAATAAGATTTGTTTTCCAGAAACATTCCTGTAGCCTTTCAGATACAAAAGCACTGCTTTTAGGTCAAAACTTGGTCATTTTACGTGTCTTTAAAGAGTACTTTTTTTGTAATCATAACTAAGTATGAGCTATTATCTGTTTGGTTTTAGCTGTAACAAAGACACAAAGGAGAAATGGGAGTTGATTCTTCCCTTAGACTTGATAGCAAGCACCAGTTATGTTTCCATAAAGAAGCTGATAGAGGCTGCCTGACACAAGTGTTAATCATAAAAAACTGCGCTAGCCTAAGTTGAAGAGTAAATTAATCATTTGCTAGATGTCTTGATGTTAGTATTAGATAAGTTTGTGAAAGAAGTGTTCCAATGCAACCACAGATTCTTGGGGTCCTGTGTTAAGCAGCAAGAAAAAAAATCCTTAGGCAGAAATTGCTGGTGACTGTTCAGAAATCTTTGGACTGCTTAGTGCAGGAAGGAGACTTGTTAATAGTCATCCAATTACAGGAGAACTGGTGGAGGAGAAAGGGAAATCAATCTGTCAGCTCTTGAGTCTGTTCATCTGAAGAATTGCAGTGCTGACAAAACAGTCAATAACAGCTATGTTACGTAGTATATAAAACATTGCATATATTTCCGTTTTCCAGGGCTTTTTTTTAATGTTGAGTTTTCTAGTGCAACATTAGCATAAAGGAAGACATGCAATTATGTTCTGTCTTTAATGAATGCTAACTGATGTTTAATAAGAAGATGATACTGACTTCTGCTGGGAGGGCCACAGAAATCGTTATTCTGAGAAGTAAGTATAAACTTTTGCTAAGGAAAGTCAGTATTTAATTCAAAAGACAATACCTGGATATTCTCTGAACTCAGAAATTTTTATCTGATTGTTATAAGCATTCTAAACATCTTTATTAATTTTTTTTTACCTGTATATTTTTAATTGAGTTCCAGAAATTAGAGATGCAGAAAATAACAATTATTTTCCTTTTGCACAGGTAAATAACAGGACATTTTGACCTCAGTGAAAATGAACATGTTTTCATATGTTATCTTTAATATCTGAGAAGCTAAATGATAGGAGTTAGCAAAGCATTTTTGAGCAAACTGAGACAGAACTTCTCGTGTATATACCAGCAGCCATTTCAGCTTATTTTACTGTTTCACATGTAAGTTTTTCGTTTGCACACCTAGACTGTAGTAATTGTGTTTGTGAATTAAAGAATGTATGATGCTTTTTCTGCAGATCATGCTCAGCTGAAATAGTCTCTTAGATCTCAGCAATGCCAAAACATTTTGTTTGCCCAAGTTTTCAGGAGTGCACTTTCTTTAAAGAGGAGATTTATATATGTAAAGAAAAAAGGTTAGGAACAGTGAAACCGGTTTTTGCCTGGTCTTGAAAATAAGTATTTATGTGCTATATTGGTATAACATTATTGGAGATTTTGAAGTCTGTCAGACTCCATTTTCCATCCTTAAAAAAACATCAAACTGAGACAGAATGATGAAATCCTCATGCTGAAATGCAATTATGTAGAACCATAGAAACATTTAAAAATACCCAACCTTTACACAATTATCTATCCTATGGTAAGAATTTATGTAAGTGAAAATATATAAACAAGAGTTTCCTATGTAAATATAGACCCATGTGATAGTTTTAACACATTCACACAAATAGTATATGCTGCCATGTAGGAGTGGGTCACTGCTTATATTTTTGATAGTGTAGATTTAAATAGCTATCAGATAACTATGAAATCTAATATACAGATTATATCTAATATTTATTGCTTTGATACAGAATATTATAGAAATATAAAATACTACTGTAGACAGTTTGCTCCTCAGCAATCAGTATAGGCCAGCACCTTCCTTCAGGGAAGTGAAATGTTGAGTTAGCTGGGCCAGATTCTCCTGACACCTGTGAGGCTTTTATTCTTGATACACAGCAGTGTATGCTGATGTACAGCTGAATGCAGAGTTTTCCTCACTGTTTATATTAAGATAGAAGTTCTTTAAGTTTTAGGTCAATCCTGGTTTTATTTATAATTACTTTAAATCATTAAATAGATCCAAATCAATGGATTTAGCCCATGTAAGATATGAACAGTCACCTCGAGAGGCCAGTTTCTGTGTTGGTCCCGGAGGGAGCCTCTGGTCTTGAGGCTGCTATCTCAGTGCTTTGGCTGGGTTTCTAACGCTGGGTAGTATGAATCCAAGCCACTGCGTTAAGATCTCACAGTGGTATTTGGATCTCATCCACAAGACCAATGTGCGTGTCTGTTGTGCTCTGTCACATGAAAGCCCATAGGTAGCTGAGTCCATCAAAAACTGGTGATTTGTTAGCCTGCCTTGAGTAACAAACAGTAAACATTTCTGCTTCTAGGGCATTATGAAACTGCCAAAAGAACAGTTTTCTGTGCTCTTCTGACTTCTAATCCATCCATTGCATCCAGCAATATGGTATCCAGATTTGTTTTGTGGTTGGACATTGGCATCCTTTCCCTATTGATGGATGCTGGCACGTTCTGTCAACCACACAAAATTGTTACTTTTTTCAAAGAGGAGCTACAGATTGTTAATAGTGTGTCAAAAAGATGTTGTCAAAATAATTATCTAAAATCCCAATTTCTTGAGGTTAACTCCTTTCAGATTTCTTTTCCAGCTGACTGGCATTTAGTTGCCATAAAGAACAGGCCCTAGGAAAAAGGTATGGAAGGAATCTTTGCATAATTTTACCTGAGACACACACATAAAGTCCAGAGTTAGATTGCTCTATATTTCCAATGGAGTACAGATGCACCAAGTTTCTTATTAAATGAGCTGACTGCAGAATATCTAGTTCTTTTTGTTTCTTAGTCAGTAGATATCTTCCTGTTACAGAGGGGCAGCAGCCCTTGCAGCTATGTAGTTCAGGAATTCAAGTGGACCAGTGAGTGCTGGATAAGGTCCTGATCTACTTCAGTTGACCGTGGCCCAAGTTGCTGATTGGCATATCTGTGTAAACCAGTGGCATTAAATCAACAGAGCATTTGGTCCTTTCTGTTTTACAGAGGGTTATAGTACTTGGGAATGGTTTACATTCAGGCAGACTATATTGATTGAGGTGAATACTACTTGATTGGCTTCTGTTATTTTCTTGAAGTATGTTTTTAAATTTGTTTCAGGTTAGTTTAGCAGACACCTCACTGCAAGCCAAAGTGTTGTAAAGCAGAATGGCTTTTAAAAGTAATGGGTTTTATTTCATTAGAGAAAGATATATATGATATTTAATATACTAGATGCTAGCTTTGGGTCTAGGTTTTGTTATTCTTGCCTTCCTATCAAAACAGCCTTCATGAGTGGTCTGTGTGTGTGCCAAGCACCCAGAGAGAGAACAGTGCCTTCAACACCTCTTGCAAGATTTTCTACACTGTTAGCTAACAGACTTTTGTCATTTTACTATAAGAATTAATGTGGGTTTTCTCTGTACAGTTGAAGTATCACTGAAGGCTGGAGTTACAATTAGTTTTAAGATATTTTGTTTTCATGTATCCCATGAAAAAGGGAGATAGCAGCACCAAAATTCCAAAATTATGCATACCTCACCATCCACAGATTTTCCAAAGAGGTTTTGAGTGATGTAACCTTTACTAAGGCTCATTTCATGTATTTTGACAATATTTGCTATGTGACTATTTCTTTTTGCAATAATGAGATTTTCTTTTCTCTCTAACAATTTAATACTACACACTCTGCAACAATGTTAGTGTTGCTGAAATATTTGGTTCTCAATTTCAATATCAATAATATTGAAATAATATAATCAAGAAAAAATAATATTTGCGAAATCTGCTTCTTAATGTGTATCTGAAAATAATGGTTTAAATTAAGCTGCATTGCCTTCAACTGCAGAATTAATAGCTTTCACAGAATATATTTTATGTACTCTGTAAGTAAGAGACACTCTATTGCTGATTTTTTCCTGTGCTTTTTCTGAAACCTTTGTTATGATCCACAATAAAATTTGCATCTGAAAATCAACACTGTATGTTGTTGTTGGGTCGGAATATGAGATGTATGACAAAAAATCAGGA